CCCTGCTAAATATATAATAGAAATATTTAAGCCCGGGGTTATTTCATAAGGCCAAAGCTATATACCCCCGAAACACTAGAGATGGTGATAGATTTGTTTTGGACTTTACACCAAAAACCTCGGTGTACCAGAAAAGCTCTTATAACATGTGTATTAAGGTATACAATAGAATTCCAAATCAATTCAAGCACGGACCTATAAAATTAATGGCAAACAAGTTACGGGACTGGTTAATAAGTAAATGTTTTTATAGTACAAATGAATTTTTATTATGAATTAATAATTGTAATTTTGTTGACATAATGAAGAAATGGCTATTGACTTAAAAAAATTGACATGTATTGTATGATTATTATGTGTAATATAATGTATAGTTATTATGACATTTGGAATGCAACTATTACTCAATTTAAATTTGAATTTATACATAATTTATTAGTATTTTGTATGCTCTTTCAAGGGCGAAACATATGGAACTTTTTATATTATTTACCAGCTATAACAAACTATGTTTCATGCAAATAAACTTTCATTTCATCAAAGTCACCATTTACTGAGAATTCTTACCAAAAAGCACCTGCGAAGATGAATAAAATAAAAACATTCAAACAAATGAGAGCTAGATCAAGCTTCCATAGCGAACCAAACGCCAATTAACAATTAGCGGACATCGGCAAGCGGAACTCCATCAACCAGATACCTAAAACGAATAAAAATGCAAAACACACTAAACGTCCCAATCCGGCTGGTCCCCGTGGGCCAAGAGACCACTACCATCCAAATAATAATATACAAAAACAACAACTTTCACAATACAAAGGTCCCAAAAGGAAGACACCACCTGAGCCAACACAGAAAAAGTCTAAAACACCATTGAAAGGCAACAAAGGAAATAGAAATAAATTCTGCATATCCACTCTTAATACGAGGACACTTAGAACCGAAGATCACCTAGCAGAATTACAAAAGGCCCTGGAAGTAGTGAATTGGGATATAGTCGGAATCAGCGAAGTAAGGCGAATGGGAGAAGAGATAAGGGAATACGACGACTACATATTTTATTTTAATGGCGAAAAGCAGGGAATGTATGGAGTTGGATTTTTAGTCAAAAAACAACATAAAGAATATACAGAACAATTCCAAAGTAAGTATGATAGGATTGCAGTCCTCAACATAAAACTACCCGGTCTTGAAAAAGCTGTTTCGATTATCCAAGTATATGCACCAACTGAACAAAACGCAGAAGAAGAAAAAGACCAATTTTACGACGCATTACACCAAACGATGGAGGTAACACACAAACAAAAAAATTTAATAGGAGACTTCAACAGCCAAATTGGAGCAGCACAGGAAGGGGCAGAACAAGAAGGCAAAAGAAACAGAAATGGTAACAGACTATGCAATTTTGCAATGGAATATAACCTCAAAATAATGAATAGTATGTTCAAGAAAAAAACAGCAAGACAATAGACCTGGATCTCTCCTGATGGAAAACATAAGAATGCCATTGATTTTATTCTAACCAACATGCCTTACCAATTTATCAATGTAAAAATCATTAGTAGACTAAATTTCAACACAAACCATAGAATGGTAAGAGGAACAATAATAATAATAATAACACAGAACACTAGAAAATCAAGTTAATACTTTAATTGTGACATACACCGAATAGTGCCTCGTTTGGCTGAGGTCAAATCGGAACTGGAAAAGATGGTACCGGATACGCAGTCGGAAAAACAACTGAGCAAAAATACGATGAAATGGAGAACTTTATATTAAATATCTGTAAAGGAATGACAAAGAATAAAACAAGGAAAGACAGAATTGGCGAAAATACCCGAAGACTTATAGAAATAAGAAAAACCCTTTTTCATGACAGAAGAAATAATACAAAGAGAATTGAAACCATCAGCAAGGAAATTACAGAGAGTATTAGAAAACACAACAAAGAAAACAAACTAAACATAATAAAAAATTAAATAGAGAAAACAGGAGGTGTAAAGAAGGCATGGAAAAAACTTAGACCATAAGACCTGGTTGCCAAATGTAAGAACTAAAGACCATCAAGGAAAATACACAATTACTGGCAATAGATATATACAGAGTAGAAATAGGCACTGTTGCAACAAATTATTACAAAAACCTTTATTGTAAAACCAAAGGTAAGGACAATTCAGCTATGGAAGATTTCTCAAGAGAAGATGAAGCAATACCAGACATCCTACCAAGTGAAGCCAGAAAAGCTGTAATGTCACAAAAACCTAATAAAGCTCTAGGAGATGACAAGATTACCAACAAGCTCATAAAGGAGACTGTAGACATCATAGGACCAAGTCTAACCTGCCTATTTAATGAGATCCTACATAAAGATGAGATTCCTAAACAATGGACTAAATCAACGATAATTATCATCCATAAAAAGGGAGATAAAAACCAAATAGATAACTTTAGACCTATTAGTCTTATGTCGAATATGTATAAAATCTTACTCGGAAGACTAACAAAATGTCTGGATGAACAGCAACCCAGAGAGCAAGCTGGATTCCAGAGGGACTTTTCTACTATCGACCATATACACATAGTGAAACAAGTAATTGAAGATTACAACGAATACAGAAAATCATACTACTTGGCTTTCATTGATTATAGCAAGGTATTTGACTCGTTAGATCACAATTTTCTATATAGAGCACTCCACAAACAGGGGGTTAATCATAAATACATAAGAATAATTTCGTAAATGTATGGAAGAAGTATGTCAAAAGTTCAGTTGGAGAAAATTGGAGAAGAGTTTAGAATAGAGAAGGGAGTAAGACAGGGGGACCGTCTGTCTCCTACACTGTTTTCTGCAGTTTTAGAGGAAATATTCAGAAACCTAGATTGGGAAGAACTAGGAATAAACATCAATGGTACCAAATTACACCATCTACGGTTTGCTGATGATCTTGTATTATTTGCGGAATGTCCAGCAGTGCTTCAACACATGCTGATAAAACTTGCGGAGGAAAGTGAGAAAGCAGGGTTAACCATGAACCTGACAAAGACCAAGGTCATGACCAATGTTTCCAAAATAAATATTCACATAAAAAAAAGAACTACAAATGCAAAAAGAATTACAGAGTAGAACTAATAACACATGGTCATGATACTGGTCCCTGAAACAAATCATCATCATCAGCCTATTAATGTCCCCACTGCTGGGGCACAGGCTTCCCTATGGATGGAATAGGGAGATTGGGCCATGACCCACCACGCGGGCCCAGTGCGGGTTGGTGGGTGCTAACGACTGCAGATGCAGCCGGGACCAACGGCTTAACGTGCCTTCCGAAACACGGAGGAGCTCGAGATAGTAAATTATGGTCACCCATCCAATGACCGACCACTGCGAAAGTTGCTTAAATTCAACGATCGCTGCGGAACGCGCTAACCACTTACGCCATCGAGCTCCTCAGATGAAAACAAATAATGAAAAACAATGATATGCCTAGTCTACACAAAAAGTGTTTGACACTTGCATACTTCCAGTACTCACCTATGGATGTCAAACATGGTCCTACTCAAAACATACAACACAACGGTTAAAAGTATGCCAACAAGGAATCGAAAGAAGTATGGTAGGTGTCAAACTAAAAGACAAAGTTCGTCTCTCTGCCATAAGAAAAAAGACGCAAGTGGTAGATGTAACCAGAAAAGTCAGAACACTGAAGTGGAGATGGACTGGGCATATCATGAGGTCGAAAAGGAACAAGTGTACAAAGGATATTATTGAGTGGTACCCCCGAGATGGTAAATGTAGTAGAGGTAGACAACACAAAAGATGGAAAGACGATCTACCCAAGAGTTGGCGACGAGCAGCCACAGATAGGAACCAATGGGCCAATTTGGAGGAGGCCTATGTCCAAGGACAACCTGATTGTACACGTGCCGATGTCAGCGATTAAACTAAGTTTTAATGTTAAGTTACTTTTAACATGTACAACAGAGAATAAAGGCTAATTTTATTTATGTAAAGAGACTGCTTAATCTCAACCATTACGAGTTCTCATAGGTTTGGCAGCCCGCTGCAACATAGGCCATCGGGCCTTTATAATTATTAAATTCATGTGTCACAATGTTTGTAACAAAATTACTCTGAAACGGTTTGACTGATTCTTATGTAAATTTTGTGTGTGTAGTTGACCTGAGAATAGGATGTAAACAATTTTCACACCCCTTAGTGAATAGGGGGGTACACCCCAAATTTGTTTTGAATAATTTATTTTTTATGATTTAGCACTAAAAATACATACAGCCCTAATTATCACCCCTCAATCACCAACTCCTAACTGTACAAAGTTCCCAAAGTCAACTAGCACCAACATTTTGAAAATATTATGTTTTACTTAAAATTTATTTCTATTAGGACACTAATAAATGTTTTTTTACACTAATATTTAGGATGACAAACTGAACTTAGAGCAATTAAAAAACTTGCATTGATAAACTTTTATCGCAATTAAAAAACTTGCATGATTAAAGTATCATTTGAATATTTTTTATAAAAACTACATTTTCTATGGTATACTTCTGTTTTACAACAGCACTAAATGTACTGAATTCACATACCATAGCTATTGTAATACTTTTACTATTATTATAGAGCAAAGAGACCTTTTAACTGAAATATTCATTAGCTAGCAACCAGCTAGTAAATTATAATGATATCATTATTGACCACTTCCTTAGTTGCATTATCATATTAAATATAAAATTTACAGTTTCTTTAATGGGTAGCAAGAACCAAAACCAAATTCACCAATACCACAATTATCAAATCTGTTTTATTTTGACTTTGCAACTGAAAATTGACTACATAGGAGATCAAAATAAACCTCATAAATGTTGTAAATTGTATATATGATTTGTTATTAAATACAAATAAATTGGCTAATAAGTTACTGATCCAGCAGCATAGATAAAACAAAAATAATGAAATTATTGATTCAAGCAATACTCACCAATATCTGTAATAGGAGGCTTAGTACTATATCCCTTTAAATGTCCGGAGTCAGAGTCGTCGAGAAGTTCAGGAGTTTCTGGCAAGCCAGCTACCACAAAATAGTCAGCAACTCTTCTTTCGTCCATTCTGATTGCTTATTTTTAGTTATGAATACCTGCACAACAAATTAAATAAATTCATGGTCACATTAATACGGTAACCTTTACGAATGAACAACACTATATTATGAAATGAAATAAAAATACACTTGTTGAATTACTTTCTTTAAAAATAATATGTCCTTAAACGTACCTATCGCATAAAAATAAAAATAAATTAGAATCACGAAGCCCTTGAACTGAACTTACAAATTAAGTCTACAATAATAATTAGAATATGACTCTATTGGTTGGGTACAATTTCATATTCAGCTTTTCATTAAATTTAAATAATTCTAGGATATAATAAATATGGACTACCTACCTATAAAATTTTATTTTTAATAATTTTTATTCACGTCATGTTGCCCGTTTGACTGATCTAAAAACAAGCCACAGAATACAGATAACAGATTACACTTCTTTTTTTTAAATTTTCTGGCTTTGAATACTCAGTCCTTTAACCGAGATTACACTACTTTTTTTTTAATAATTCATGACCATGGATACAAGTTTTTCAGTCGTATACATAAATACAAATCCTTATCTTCATTTTTTATTTACATTAGAATGTCGGTGACGCATTCTAATGTTTCTTGGAGTGTTTGGCACGAAATGTAACGAGTTGGTTTTTCCGATAAGCTTCTGTGAGGTAGTCAACACTACAATAAAGTTCTTACGTCCACTTGACCGGAATAGCGTATATTTTAAAGATTCGACTAATTCTTCATTGCGCAGATGGTTGTAACACAAAATCACACCAATTTTATTTCACAATAACCACTATGAACGAATTTATGAATAAATAAAATAAGACGCTAACCGCACTCGATGAAATTCCGCCAAAAAGTCCAGATTACACTACTTTTTTTATAATTTATTGGCAATGGAAACATTGTTCTTATGCCTAGATTACACTACAGTACACCAGTGTGACCAGAATAAATTTTACGAAAATGCCGAAGCACCTCGAAAAAATACCGAAATGTACCGACTTCACAGAAAATATACCAATAAAAATACTGATTTTCAAAAACCGGTTTAATTCATTAATCAACACTATTTTATTTATGAATCTGTTTCTTTGTACTCTTTTTATTAAATTTATCTGTGAAAATATGGGCTTGCTAGCAACATTCGATACTGGTATACATTTTAACAGAGATTTACTGAAACTTCTTCATATTATAAATGTGTAACGTTGTAGGTATGTTTGTTTCTATATCACGCAAAAGTACTGAACGGATTTGGAGAAGAAGGCCGACCAAAGAAAGAAATGGTCACATAAAGAACCATGGCCAGATGCTTTTAGTGGATACCTATCACTAATTTTACTAACTGCACATTTACAAATTGTTTCTCTAAATAAACTTTTTATATACTATAAAATGAGTTTTTAGTATTATTTTCTTAACAAGTGTGTTAAAAAACGTTGTATGATGATACTTGTGTGTATTGATGATTACCTAACGGCTCTGGTCTCAATGGCACCTCAGCGGTAATCACCAACATTACACACTTTTACACTATAAAGTACTATTTTATCTATAATAATTTTATTCTGATTCAATTAAATATGCTTGACTAAACTTTTTATAAGCATAGGTACCTACTATATATAAAACAGAAACAAAATACGACTGTATAGTGTTTCTTATTAATTACCTATTTTACTTGAATGAACTGCTAGTATCAAAATCATTTTGGTCCGACTGTATAGGGTTGCTACATGCATACTAGTGGCGCCATCATTTAATGTCACGACTTTATAGACAAACTGTAGATTATGACTTCGGACACCTACTAAAGATGGGAAAAAAAAGAAAGAAAGTTATTATAGTGAATGTATTATAACTATATATGTAAGGCCGGTTTAAAACCAATTAAACCAATCCGTTTAAAACGAAAAAAAACGTATAAAATCGAAATAAACCATTTTTTCGATTTAAAACGGTTGGTGTTGATGACTATGTTTTTCTTAATTATAACTACATTGTCTTGATTTTACCGAGGTATGAATATAACGGAGTACCTATAAACTGTATAAAGATTTTTTAAATGTGTGATATACTTACTGATATTGATATACTTAGCGAGTATAGTGTTAGATGTTCCGCGACCAAGCATAGGTATTACCTACCTAAGTTATAAAAACTCTTATCATAAGTTAAAAACTCTGTGTTACTAACACAGAGTTTATAACATATATTGTTAATAAAAACAAATATTGTTTTCAAACGATATAAATCAATTCAATCAATTTGATTCGGTTTAAAACCAAACTCACACTCTCGCACTCTCGTTGACGTCACTCGTCGTTACTCGACGCAAACGTGTCCAGCTCGCCTACCCTACACACATGCACAATATATAAACTGCCGCCGGCCGCCCGCGCCGCGCACGCACACTTCTCAGGCGCGAATACAACAGGGGGTAGGTTGGGGCATGGATGGAGTCTGCTGACAATAACTACATCATGTACAGTCAGGTCACAAGCCCATTTTAACTAAATTTTAACAGATAACATCTCTATGTATCTTGTTGTATATGTCAAAATGTGCTTTTAAAAGTGACCCCCTGATTGTCGGTACGTTCACATGTAGTTTTTGTATCTTTATCATAGAGGTTTGTTATTTCTGATGACTGTGAATAAAGAACTAGTACAAAATTAAAAAAAAAATGACCATAAAGTGAAAAAAACATAGTTCTTTTATTTTTGTATGCCAGTTTTCAACCGTTTAAAACGATTTCTTTGGGGTTTAAAACGGCAACATTTGGTTTAAAACGTTTTAAATCGGTTGTTTTACATCTATAATTGTAACTATTCAGAGCCCAAATAATCTTACTTAAATGAAAATTCATTTTCGGAAATTGTGTCCGACCCTCCTGCGTCATAAAGTTGCACGTTGCTGCCAGCTTCATAGGATTCACGGAAACTGGAATTTCAAAAGCCAAAATAATCACAGCCAAAAATTTCCTTTTAAAATTTACACAGATTTTCCATTCCTGTGGAATTATTGTCTGAAACTTGAAAGTTTCTTCAGAAAAATAATACTCACGTTTTGCAATGGTTGAAATCTGCCGTTCATGGCTCCATAAAAACTTAAATTTTTATCTCACTGCAGCTAATAGTTTCCTTGGTGTTTAAAAAATATATAACTTAGATATTGTATAGAAAATAACTTTTAACGTCGGTGTTTTCTACCTCCATTATTAATATTTGAAACATCTGAAGCAAAGACAATAATATGATATAATCCATGTTGAAATTTAAATACTTTTATTACAAGAGTATCAACTCTGTAAGTCGTAGTATAAGTTTTTAGTGAGTTTTATGTTGAAGTTTCAACAAAGTAAACGATGCATTTAATCAGATGTAATTCTAGATAAAAACAGAAATTATGATCATTCATTCAGATCATTTTTTTCGGAGCTCAGCGGCATGTTGACTTTTCAACGGTCGCGTGACTATGAACCAAGAAGTGCTAGAGTCGTGTTCAAGCACTTCTTGATAGGGACACATTTTGAGCACACGTGGTGTATCTAGGGTATTTAATATCGTTGCCATTCATAGCCAAAGCTCAATAAATGAAAAAAATATCAACCAATATTAATTATCAATATACGTTATTACACAATACACAATTCTTTATTGAAAACACCACAGTATAGTACATAAATGGGGTAAATACATTATGTTTAAACATAGTGATACAATGGGCGGTCTTATCGCTAAAAGCGATTTCTTCCAGACAACCTTTGGATGGAGAGGATTGAAAGAAACTGGAGTCGGTGGTGTTATAAAAAAAAATAAAAACAAAAAATATAAAAATGTATATAACTATATATTTTAAATATATGTACATACCATACATACATAATATATACACATAATATAACTATAAGATATATACATATAATATAAATATATGACACATACATACATAGACTACACATCTTTATATATATAATTCTTCTGTGAGTGTGTATGTCACTGAACTTCTCTTAAACGACTGGACCGATTTTGATGAAATTATTTGTGTGTGTTCAAGGGGATCGTTAGATATTGTCATAACATTTGAATAATAATTTTCATCAAAATGGTCCAGAATGTTTTAGCTTATTTAAAAAGTTTGAAATTTTCAAATTAAAGACGTGTAGACAGGACAACGTCTGTCGGGTCCGCTAGTAATAATATATAAGTTTAGTCCAGTCAGAAAAAAAAATATTAAAAATAAAAATAAAAATGCAGTTACATCGACAAATAATGGTTGAAAACAAGATTTTTGAAAATATAAATAGATTGTGCTCGTCTTATGGTTACTGGAAGAGAATTCCACAGGCGAACAGCTTGGACGGCAAAAGAACGACCATAGAAGGTTGTGTCATGAGTAGGAATTTTTAGGGTTAAATTTTCTGATGACCTAACTAAGAGATAACGCGTTTGAGCTATGAAGGTAATTGAAACATTCCTTGAGATAGCGCGGGGACAAAGGATTGAATAATACCAATATATATTGGTGCCAATTCTGGCGTGATTCTCTAAACTTAAAATTAAATTTAAAATCAGTCTCTCCTTTTCATTCTGTATAGAGAATGACAAGGATATACTGCTGTCAAATTTAAGTTTAGGTTTAGAGAATCATGCTGGAATCGACACCATTGTAGAGAAGTGTGAGGATGTGAGTATTCCGGCGAAGTCGAATTGGTAGCCACTTGAGCTGTGATCGAAATTGTGACACATACTTGTGTAAGCTAAATATGAAACGATTACAGAAATTTTGAAGTCGCTCAAGCTTATTAAGCTGGTCTTCCGTGAGATCAAGATAGCAGGCGTCAGCGTAATCAAGAATAGGTAGCAGCAGAGACTGTGCTAGGGAAATGTTTGGTGGCAGTAGGGAGGAAATTGCGGAGTCTCTTCAGCGAGGCTGCCGAAGCAAACAGTTTTCGGCTAACAGCTTGTAACTGTGGAGCAGCTCAAGCAATTA